AACACGACTGTCAGCGCAGAGGCCAGTTCAATAGTGAATCCACTGTGGAGGAGGGAGGGGGGGAGAGGAGGAGGGGGGGGGTGGGGAGGGGGGGGGGGGGGGGGGGGGGGGGGGGGGTGGGTTAGAGTTGGGTGGTGGTCCCTAACGAGGAGGAAACCAGAACTCCTGCGTGACCGAGGACACGACGCGACGACCCGCGCTCCAAACCACGGACAGGCAGCGCCGCGAGCCTGGCCGCGCACGGCGCTGGAACCGACGCCGGCAGAAGCTCAGGCTTTACTGGAGGTGGGCGGACGTTCAAGTTCTTCTGCGGCGCTCCAGCCCACAGCCCGCTTTTATGGGCCTGTTTACAGACGTGGGCTTCCAGAGATCTTTATCCAGCGCTGCTTTGATTCACCAGAGCTCTCATCCCACAGACACAGGCCTTTCAAGACGCACAAATAGAAATCTGGCAGTCATTTCACAGTCAGAACTCAACCCCCCCCCACTCTCCCCCTCCCCTCACCCTCCCCCTTCTTCATCTCCACATCTTCAGATATAATTATGGGGGCTCTGCAGATGTTCCTCCTGTTCTTCTTCTTCTTCTTCTTCTTCTTCTTCCTCCAGATTAGGAGCACTAATGCGCTGGCGTGTTCAAAGTCCCGGCTCACGGAACACTTGGAGGGCCGTGCGCTCGTTTCTTGTCGATGAAGGACTAGCATGAGCGACTCCACGGCAGCTTCAACAGGAAGTTCACCTCATGTATTTTCTGATGACAACTGCTCTGTTAGCATAACGCGGAGCGGCTGCGGCTGCGGCCGGCGCCCGGGGCCGCGGCGGGGTGTACTGCACGTGTCCCCACAGGAACACAGACACCAGAATGTGTGTACTCCTTGTTAAGTAATAACTATTTGACTAAACCAGTCAGACCTACTCGACCTCCACAACTAACCTAGTTATTGAACCACATAATTACTTTTAACCTTTGAAGTAGAGCCAATATCGAGTATCTAGGACACGTGTCAAACTCAAGGCCCGTGGGCCAAATGTGGCCCACAAGGTCATTTTGTGTGGCCCTGCCGGAGCCTAAAAAGCCTAACCTGATATAATAAAAGTTATTTTTTTTATTGCTGCTGTAGCCCCCCCTAGTGAAAATGAGTTTGCCCCCCCCCCGTGTTAGACCGTTAGAACCGACCTAATTATTGAACCAATACAACGACGTGTATTTATGTTTAATTGCTTTTAACCTTTGAAGCAGAGCAAATATTTAGTGTGGAAGATAAAAGCTGTCACTGGTGAAACCACGACGGCAGAAACAACAAACGTCCTCGGTCTGGACGTCCAAAGGTCACCATATATTACACTGCAATATATGATGACGTTTGTAAGATTTACTCTGTAAGATTTACTCGGCTTTAGACAGAAAACGATACAACATCGAATGATTGATTACAGCCTGTCAAAAAAGTCAAAAACAAACAAACAAATAAAAAATATACATATATAAATATATATAGACATATATGTCTATATATATATATATTATAGAGATTTGAATATAAATATAAATATAAATATAAATATATTTATATATATAAATATAATATATATAAATATATAGATATATTTATGTTTATATAAATACATCTATATATAAATATATGTATATATTTATACATATATTTATATATATATTTATATTTATATTTATATCTCCTTCCAGCCAATCTCAGTGTTACCGACTGCCCTGTCCGAAGTCTTTAACTTCAGTCCTGAATTACATCTGTGACGTGAACTGAAAGTCAAACTTCACGTGAGGAGTTCGTCATATCAGGAGAAAATAAACAGAAACGCTGGAGAAAAGTTCTGTTCACGGACACAGACCTTTGGAAAATAAACACAAAACGATGGTCTTGTCCTTAACTGTAACTGTTCAAAGCGAGTGGACGTAAAAAGAGAAACCACTCTTCTCAGCCCACACCACAACAGTGGCCCAGAGTCCAGATGAATCAACATACACACTGCATATAGCTGCGGTCGGAGGACGAGCCACGACAGGCAGCAATTACCCTGCTGCCACACACAAGTCACTGGCTGTGACCTTTAACCACTGTTGACACCAGCCTCTGTGGGCAGGCACGACCAGTCGATCCAGCAGCGACCAGTCGATCCAGGCACAACCAGTCGCGATCAGTCGATCCAGGCACGACCAGTCGATCCATGCACGACCAGTCGATCCAGGCACGACCAGTCGATCCAAACACGACCAGTCGCTCCAGGCACGACCAGTCGATCCAGGCACGACCAGTCGCTCCAGGCACGACCAGTCGATCCATGCACGACCAGTCGCTGCAGGCACGACCAGTCGATCCAGGCACGACCAGTCGATCCAGGCACGACCAGTCGCTCCAGGCACGACCAGTCGCCCCCGGCACGCCCCGCCGAGCCCACGGCCAGTCGATCCAGGCACGACCAGTCGCTCCAGGCACGATCAGTCAATCCAGGCATGACCCGTCGATCCAAGCACGACCAGTCGCTCCAGGCACGACCAGTCACTGCAGGCACGACCAGTCGCTCCAGGCACGACCAGTCGATCCCGGCGGGAGCAGGAGAGGGGA